TAGTGATCGCTTATGCAAATTTATTCTAAACAAGTACTGAAAAGATGATGGATAAAATTTAATTTTCAGTCCTTATTACTTTACTGTCATTTATTGGTGGTTCATATAATAGACAGATTTGGTGTGACATCACATTGCCTGACAAACTTTATTGGACATAGTTGGATATGCTTGGTACTAAATGACTAGTTATACCATCTGGTAGAGGTATTATATCAAGTTTCAAGAGAGCCAGCAGCAGAACTACAAGAAATTGCTTAACAATTTTCTGTGTAAAAAAAGAAAAAATCAGAGTTAGATATCATGAGACTGTTTTGAGCAGTTTTAATTTTCTGCAGCTATATGATGCAAGATACACAGTAGACTTCTTGTAGTGTGTAGAATGACAAAATCATTTGCAAGTTGATTAAAAGAATGTTATATAATATTACCCAGCATTTTATGTTTACTGTTAACATATAGTATTTTTAGTCATTGAATACCAAATACAGCAAAGATATTGACTATCAAGCAAACCCTACAGTCTGACCTGTTGGTGCTCAGACAAAGGCATTGTTATCACTAATGTATTGCGGCAACTTAGAGCTTTGACTAGTTTTAAAAGCTCTATCTTGCCAGAATACATATGGTGAAGGTTTGTAATAATTTGCTAGAGTGATGTTTGCATCAAATGGATGGCATTTGCATTCACATACTGTTACAAAAATAGTTGTCTCCAACTTCATTTCACCCTATGAAATATGTGTCCTTTCAATAAGGAATTAGAGATAATCATGAGTATGAGTATTCATGATTATTCACTTCTTTATTCATACAGGTGAAATGAAGTCAAATATCTAAAATAATATAAAGCTAACAGGAAGTAAAGAATGAGAGTAACTTTACTTTCAGCTTCCTCTAACCCTCCCCCCAAAGATTAAATATAATTGAGTTTGTTACAATACTAGGGCACAGTGCATGTTTATTCAGATTTATGTTAGCGTATTAAAACTTCAAATTTATAGATGGCTAATTTATATAATTATTTTTCTCAGATTGTATGGTAAAGTACAGAACACATTCAAGATGGCTGACCCCAAGGTTTTATCGCTGTTTAACGAATTCAACAAAAAATATTTTTGGGGGAAACTGGACAAAGTTAAGGTCACATGGAGCCCAAGGATGACCCTGTGAGTCTGGCATGTATAATATTTTCTTTGCCTAGTTTTACTATAAAAGACAGAATGAAAAAGATAAAACTGGTAATCATCTTCATCTCTGTTAGGTTACCTTTATCTTCATTTTTTCTGTTTTTGGTTGACATCTTTACATTTCATGTTTTGCTTTTTTGTATGGTTACTTGCTTATTTTTTCCTTCTTTCTTTCTTATTTCATTCTTTCTTCTTTTCTTTTTTCTTCTTTATTTCTTTATTTCTCATTGGATCTGAGTGTCTCACTGCCTCTAATTGACCCAAAGTCTGTGTATGAGGCTTACTTGAGTGGCAAATTTCCCAGTAGTGTAGCTTGTAGGTCTCACATGTGGTGTCAAGGCTCCATGCCTCCCCTTTTCAATTTTCCTTTTTCTTTTTCTGGAGCTGGCACCCTCTCAATAGAGGCTCACAGATGGTACAAAGGCAAGAGCCCTTTCCCAAATGCCCACTTAGTCTAATCTTTTTCCAAAAGCTTTGTGAACTTATGGTAAGTCATTCCTGTCACCATGGCCTTCAGTCAATTTTTTTTTTTTGACAGCATATTTTATATATGATAGTCACATCACCTAGATCCAGTGGATGAATTTCTCTTTTTTTCATATTATTTTATCACTGTCTTGTTTATTCTCTCTTCATCTCTTTTTCTTTTCTATTGAAAAAGGTATGTAGATGGCCAAATATCCATTAGTTAGGTAAGTAATGAGGATGAAAGATCCATAGGATACAATAGGTAATATTCTTGGTACTGAATATACTTAAAGTGTGATTTGGCTGTGTCCTGTTGCATCAAGTCACTTTTTCTGTGTGGTCTATGCACTTTTTTTTATTGGTTGAATTTTTTTGTTTGTTTTTCCAGCACATATATTTGTGTTCAGATTTTAAATGAGGAATTTATGAATAAAAAATGTAATGTGATCTAATTTTAACAAAATTATCAAAAGATGAAAAAGATCAAGGAAATGTAAAAATATTTGAATACTCAGTTTTTCCCCATTTGCAGATGTGCTGGCAAAACAGCCTATAAAGTGCGAGGCCGATCCTTTTCCTCATGTACAATTCGTCTCAGTCAGCCCCTTCTTACTCAAAGACCACACTCTGATACAGTGAACACACTCCTAGTAAGTACAGGTTTTTCGAGGATGTTCACTTTTTATGTACAGATATTGCTTGTAAATATGAAGTGCTGTGATTAATAGTTTATGTGTGTATGTATACACATATATATACACACATATATAAATATATATATATGTGTGTGTGTGTGTGTGTGTGTGTGTGTGTGTGTGTGTGTGTGTGTGTGTGTGTGTGTGTGTGTGTGTGTGTGTGTGTGTGTGTGTGTTATATGTGTGTATATATATATATATATATATATATATATATATATATATATATATTATATATATATATATATATATATATATATATATATATATATATATATGTGGGTAATAGAGTACCAGTTATAATATTTTTTGGCCTACTTGTGTATGTCTCTGTATGTTTATATATATATATGTATGTATATATGTATGTATATGAAAGCATACATGTGTATATACTTAAGTACACACTGGGGCTCAGGATGGGAACGTGAGTTACTCGTCCTGCCTGCACTGTGGCAGCCGCCATCCCAATGTGAGGCCTGTGGGATAAAGCCCTCGGGAACTCCACAATCAGACATTGGGCCTCACAGCCTGCTGCCCCCTTTTATATGGAGCAATGTTGGCAGGGGTGGCAGAGGTGGCATCTGCCCAGAGCAAGTGCCCGAGGTTCAACTTTAGGCAGGCCATTCGAGTGGGAGCTTGGAACATCCAGTCATTATGGCAGGATGATAGATTACAGCTACTATCGAGGGAACTGAAGCGGCTGGGAGTTTAGGTGGCCACCCTCTCATAGGTGAGGAGACCTGGCAGTGGCACGATTAGTGTGGGTGGGTACACCTATTACAGGCCAGGTTGGGGTGATGGTCATCATCTCCAGGGAGTAGCCATAGCCATCTCCAGCTGACTTCAACCTTTTGTCGTATAGGTTATCTCCGGTAAATGAGCATATTATGGCACTGAGACTGAAGCATGCTTTTGGCTTGGTGTCTCATATTGCTGTGTACGCTCTTACTGATGTATGTAATCTTGATGTGAAAGAGGTGTTCTATGCCAAACTCACATCTGTGGTAGACAAATGCCCCCAGCGAGACATTCACATTGTACTGGGCAACTACAATGCGGTATCTGGTTGTGATTGAGCTGGCTATAAGATGTCTGTTGGATGCCATGGCTCGGGAGCTGATCCCGGAAGAGAGAACAGCCTCCTTCTCTGGGACTTTGCAAGGTCCCAGAGATTTTGGATTTCTGGCTCTTGGTATCAGCACTCCAATCCATATCACTAGACTTGATACAGCAATATGGGTATTTTGGCCAAGGAGATTGACTCACTGGAGGATGCCTCAGAACTGCAGAGTTTACAAGAGTGCTGAATTCAGTAACTCTGACCATAGATTTGTTTTAGCAACCCTGCAGGTTCACTTCAAATCTCCCTGTCTTTCCAGTGGCTACTCTAGGGTGTTTCACCTGGACGGATTGGGGGAAGAGGAGTGTACATATACGTTTGCCACAACAAACTTTGATCGGTTAACAGTGGTTGAAAACCTGACTAACCCTGTAGCCCTATGGGGTTCCTTTAAGCGTGAAACACTCCATGCATCCCGAGAGTCCATTGGTAAATGTTCAAGGACAAGGCAGACTTTCATCTTGCTGGAGGCCACAGATGCGTGTCACATGGCTCATGTGAACCACAATCAGGATTTGTGCTGTTCCTTGGTATGCTGGGCTCATACTTGGCTGAGAAGGGATAAGGAACAGTTCTTCAGGAATCTAGTCAAGGAGGTAGAAAGCCATTTCCTAGTAAATGATCTTTGTCCTGCCTATCATGCCCTGAGAAAACTGAACTCCAATCCCTCCTCAAGGATGTCTGTGGTCCGCTCAGTGGATGGATGGATCATCTCAGAACCTGTTGGGGTTCGTGAACATTGGGCTGAGTATTTTGAGTAATTGTATCAGTTAAATCCCCAGCAGTTAGTCTTGATGTAAGGGATGTCACAATCCCTGTGGCTGACCCACCCATCAGTGAAGATCCTCCTACTCTGACTGAGGTTAGGGAGGCAATCTCTAAGCTGAAGGGTGGGAAAACTGCAGGCATTTGCAATGTCCCCGCTGAACTACTAAAGGCTGGGGGTGAGCCTATTGCACAGGTCTTGCATGCTATCCTGGCTGCCATCTGGCAGTCCAGTTCCATTCTTCCTGACCTGTTGAGGAGCATGGTCATCCCTCTCTGGAAGGGGAAAGGGGATCATTGGGACTGTAGCAACTACCATGGCATCACATTACTCATTATACCAGGCAAGGTTTTTGCCCACATTTTTCTGATACGGATCCACAACCACATGCAAAGGCACCAAAGACTGGAGCAATCTAGATTCACTCCTGGAGTGTCCACAATAGACCGTCTCCTAGCACTTCGAACCATTGTAACACATTGTTGTGAGTTAGGTTGTGGGCTGCTCGCAGCCTACATCTACTTTAAGCAGGTGTTTGATTCAGTGCATTGCAAATCATTATGAGAGATCCTAAGACTTAGGGGAATTCTGACACGGATTATTGGATTAATAGTAAGCCTATATACTGGTACTGAAAGTGCTGTATAGGGTGGTGGGGGCCTGTCAAGCTTCTTCCCTGTTAACTCAGGAGTGAGGCAAGGCTGTGTCCTTGCCCCAACACTTTTCAACACTTGCATGGACTGGATAATGGGTAGAGC